ATACATGTAGCACAGACTGTGACATCTAAGATGCAGACGATAGCCGGGAAGTTTCCAAACATCTTCAACGGTATGGGCAAAGTACATCCTAAAAACATACAGGTGAAGTTACACATCGACGAGAACGTGGAGCTAAAGCAACAACCGCATTGACGTATTCCATTCCACATAAGGAAAGCTGTCGAACGGGAACTGGACAAACTCGAACAAATGGACGTTATCCTATCTAAACTTATTAAAGGTTAGCAGTCCAACGCCATGGGTCAGCCCTATTGTGGTGGTACCAAAGAATAATAATGAGGTTCGGATATGTGTGGACATGATAAAAGCGAATGAAGCCGTAAAACGCACAAAACGTCATGCCAACAATCGACGAGCTGATCACAGACTTTAATGGTGCATCAGTTTTTAGTGTGCTGGATTTAAAGTCAATGTATCATCAACTGGAACTCCAACCTGAGAGTTGATACATTACGACATTCTCAACGCATGTTGGACTGTTCAGATACAAAAGGTTAATGTTCGGTATCAACTCCGCTTTGGAAATCTTCCAGAATACACTATCAGGAGTGTTATCCGGTTTAAAGGGTTGCAAAAACATGTCAGATGACATCATTGTGTATTGACAAACCCAAGAGTCACACGACAAAAACCTGAAAGCGGTGCTAGAGCGACTTGAACAAACCCCGGGGGCACTCCTATTGTTAAGGGTATTGGGGACGTGCCGCTGGACAGGGTATGTTTTCCAAACATTATTATTGGCACAGGGTACATTTTCCGAACATCATTATTGGCACAGGGTATATTTTCCAAACATCATTATTGGCACAGGGTTATCTAGATACCCCCCAGCAAGCAAGCCGATATTGGCACAGGGTTATCCAGAGATCGAGTCATGATACAAGATTGCGTGGCACAGCTTTGCTGTTGATCCTGAGTGCTGCGCGCGGATAAGATGCGCAGGATAAGACGTGCGGATGAGACGCGCAGTTCCGCGGGATATGCGCACGCGACCGCGCGGATGTTTAAGTATGAAGCGCTGTCCGCAGTGGAGACGCGCGCCAATTTCTAGGCCCGGCGCACGTCTCCACAGTGGTCAGCAGATGGTCTGTAGTTTTATGATCTGTAGTCTCGATTTTCCATGACTGTATAGTGTGTAACAATAAATTTGGACAGGACATAACCGAAGTGTGCAATATTGCAACAGGGTATACTTTTTAGTGCAGTATATTGGGACAGGGTGTATTTTAGGGCGTAAAGCGGTTTGAGACAGGGTTAGGTTTTCAAGGTCCTCGAGGAACCCCCTACCCAGTTCCGAGGCGAGTGCTCCCCGGAAACAAACCAACTTAAAGCTGAATAAGGACAAATGCAGGTTTGGACAGAAACAAGTTACTTTCTACGAACACATATTTAGCAAGGACGGGATCGCTGCCGATCCTAGGAAGATATCTGGTATCGTAAATGCTAGTGTACCCAGAGCGCAAGTGAAGTCAGATCACTACTAGGAATGGCACAGTATGTCTCCAGGTTTATAACAAATTACTCTGATGTGACGTCTGCACTCCGTGAACTTACACATAAAGGTGCTCAATGGGAGTGGACATGTGTGCACCAGAAAGCACTCGATAACGTCAAGCATAAACTGACCAGCGTGTGCACAGAGAAGTATTTTGATCCAACCAAGTGTTCAGAAGTGGTAGTCGACGCAAGTCCAATAGGCGTAGCCGCCATGTTATGCCAGGGCGGGAAGGTCGTTAGTTTCGCTAGCCGAGCACTATCTAGTGTTGAACAGCGATATTCACAAACAGAACGAGAGATGTTAGCAGCAGTATGGGGTGCTGAAAACTTTTATATCTATTTGTATGGGAGTGAATTCGATATTATAACAGACCACAAGCCGCTGGTTGGGTTATTTGCCCGTCAAGCAAGCATCTGCCAGGATTGACCGATGGAGGTTACGGTTGTTACCGTATAAGTATACTCTCAGCTACCGTCCAGGAAAAGATGATGGAAATCCTAGTGACTACATGGGTAGGCATCCGGATCAATCAGCAGCGACAGACGCGGCCGAAGACTATATAAATTACACGCGTTCAAACAGTGTGCCCAAGGCACTCACTGTAAAAGACGTAGAGAAACACGCTTTGAGAGATCCGGTGTTACAGAAGCTAATCTGTGCAATTGAACATGGACAGTGGGCAGATGAGAAACTCGTTCAATATTTGACAGTGAATGATGAGCTAGCAGTCTTCAATGGCTTGGTGCTGAGAAACACACGCATTGTGTTACCGGTTTCGTTATGTCAGCAGGCAATCGAATTGGCCCACGTCGGACATCAAGGTGTCGTCAAGACCAAGATCGAGTTTGTTACGCGAGAAGGTTTGGTTTCCAGGTATAGATCGTTTGGTGGAAGAGCGAAAACAGTGTTTGCCATGCCAAGCTGCTACCGCCAAAAACACAGAGGGACCAAAACCTCTCAAGATGACAACACTACCTTGCGGGCCATGGAAAGAAGTAGCAGTAGACTTTGCCGGTCCATTTCCGACGGGAGAATACTTGCTAGTAGTGGTAGATGAGAACAGTAGGTTTCCAGAGGTAGAGCTGGTGAGAAGTACATCATCGAAGTCCACAATTCCTAAATTATATAGCATATTTGCCAGACAAGGTATACCAGACACAGTGAAAACCCACAACGGACCACCGTTTAATGGTGGGGAATTCTCATCATTTGCAGAAGAGTTGGGATTTCATCATCGACGCATTGCATCATTGTGGCCACAGCCTAATGGAGAAGCTGAACGATTCATGAGAACACAAAATAAGACAATCCGAGTGTCTAACATAGAAAGTCGAAATTGGAAGCGCGATTTAGTTCGATTTCTTCGTCAATATCGAGCAACGCCACACTCGGGCATTAGAATCTCACCAGCAGAGGCCCTCAACAACTGAAAGATGAAGGTACAATTACCAGAAACTAACCTTCTGGGAGACAGGAAAGCTCGGGATATTCGTGCAGTCAATAAGCGGAGGAAAGACAAGATGAAGTCCTATGCTGACGACAAACGCCATGCAAGAGAGAGTAGAATTCAAATCGGTGACACGGTCATAGTGAAGCAACAAAGGTCAAACAAGCTGTCTACACCGTACGATCCACGACCATACAAGGTGCAGAATCGAAAAGGGAGCATGGTAACAGCTAGGCGGGGAGATCATCAGATAACACGCAATCTTTCGAAGTTCAAACGCGTACATCCAGTCGCGGATGGAGAAGAAATGGATGATGAAGCAATGGTCGAGGTACCATCGGACGAACCACACGATGCTCTACGCGACAACGCAGAGAGAAACGAACGTCAGAACGTCCGACGCTCTACACGTACCAAGCACGCGCCTGCGCGTTTCAAAGAGTTTGTTATGCTCATTTAGATTCGTGGTAAGGCTCATAGGGTCTATGCCCCCAGGGTACTGCCGGAACGTACCCTGGGTACGGTCCGGTATACCGGAACGTACCCTGGTCACTATTTGATATGGTTAGGGTTAGGATTAGGGTTAGGTTTAGGTTTAGGGTTAGGGTTAGGGTTAGGGAGTAGGCACAGGCGACTCCCTAGACTCGTTAGTGGAGTAGGCGAGGTACGGCCCGGCATATTAGATAGTACCAGGGTACGTTCCGGTAGTACCCTGGGGGACATAAACCCTCTCAGCGTAACTTACAGACGACGTTAGAAACTGTAGAGTTAAACATATAGATAGCTGTTGTTAAAAAAATGGGTTTTAGATTGTGACGTTCCACTACCTTAGAGATTTCTGTTTTCAAATGCTTAACTGATGAACAAGTTTGGTTGACATACATTTGGTGTAAAGGTTTTTATTTGAAGTCCAGTTTAGCAGATGTGTCTATAATATACAGATACTGAAATGAGTCTAAAGTTTACGCAGACGAATATAATTTTTAATCCAAGTTTAGGAGGAATGTAGTGTAGTCAATGTGTTATGGTTTGCTTTCTGAAATCGTTGCATTTGTACACGCGATTTATGACAGTAATGTATATGCAACACTTTACGGTTGTAATAAAACATACGGGTTCTTAGAGCCTGTGTGATGAACAGAAACACACGTGTTTACTTGAGTGTTCAGAATCCAACACTATTTATATTAGCACGATTTATTTTTGTTATTCCAGCTCGGGTGAAACGAGCCTATTTTACATCAAATAAATTGAGTCAAATGTCTCAAAACAGCTATAACCAAAGGATAAGATACATGTGAACAAGTCAACATTATCACAGTCTGCTGTAGAAGCTAAGGCGCGCTCTCGGTGTAAATATTATTGGATAGCAAAGGTCAAAGGGTGTTGGAGCCAGTATTTTAGGAGAAGGATATCTCTGGCAAGTGATTACTAATAAACAGCCATTTATCAAGCATTTGCATAGGTAAATATAACGTGTAAATCTATTCTCTATCTGTTGCTACGTTGGTGAGCAGCAATTTACGATAAAATGTGAGATGAAGTTCATCATCTACAAAGTGTGAAGAAGTGTGTCAGTGTAAAATTGAAAGTTTACACGGGTGGACTACTGTTCCTTGTGTCTGATTATTAATTCATATCGTTAATTGGCCTTATCCCAGTCAATATTCCTCAGTTCATTACGAGGGACTTATCTTATAATACATACATAGAGTTTAGTTGAGCTAAGTAAAATAACACTAGGTTTGGTTCTTGGCAAACATTTCGCTGTTATTTTTTTAAACTAAGCGTAAGATCATTTCAAGAGCTAATAAATACTTATTATTAGCTCTTAGGTATTTATTAGCTCTTGATCATTTCATAAGTAACATGTGTACTGACTGTATACAAAATGTGAAAAGAGAATGGAATCACATAAACGTATGCGGGCGTATATATATATATATATATATATATATATATATATATATATATATATATATATAAGATAAGATGATATGAATACTGTACGGTTGATGTCATTTGTACTCGTACGTTTGTTATTCGACTCGGTTCTCCCGGCAATCCAGCGATTCGTTGACCAGCTTTACCTGTCCGGACCCACGCCATCCTTGTCTCCGGAATTAGCTTCGTCTCTGATACACGCATTATCAATCACGGTCAAGCGATTGATTACCAACTACGTACCTATACGATCACGAAGAGGAGCAACGCTACACCAACGACACCAACTATAACTCGACAAAAACATTCCTAGTTGCTTAATTGATACTATGATTTCAACTGCGAAATCTGCTGTAAATGTACATGCAGTGATCGAACATTTACAGTTCAAAATATCGCAATTCACAATTCTTTTGGGACGCAGACTTTTCTCCACAGGCACTTAATTGGGCCGTTCTAAAAATAAAATGATAGTAACTAAATAAAAAATAAAGTTTACTACCAAAGTATTCATTTTATATTACCTATAATATTCATAATCAGACGCTGCTTAAACTTTCCCGTGTGTAAAATTTGTTTTGCCTAAATGACATATGACTTCTAGTGATCCAGATTTTTTTTACTCTTTATTGTTAAATTAATTGTTGCACTACACCTATATGCTGTCGTTCCGTTAAATGTAAACAAATACTTGCGACTCCATATATCTTATATCCCATATTCTAAGCAATTTAAGTACGCAAAAAACCAATAGGTTTGCAAAAATGCAAATTTTATATCTGATGTGTTTGGTGACATATAGTAGTGCTGTCGCTAATTGCGCGTATCATGTCATGCTTAATTGTACAAATGAACTTTTTATAAGCATATGTCATAGTCCTTTAAAATGCAGCTTTTATATCAATTTCTTATTTATTTTATCGTTTTAACGTGCGTACAATACAAATTAGCATGTCGCCTAAGGAAACCATAATTTAATCAAAATTTTATCTGAGCTACCCGATTATATAACGTATAGCGACACTCAGAGAGACATGATACAAGATTGCAGTGGCACAGCTTTGCTTCTGATCCTAAGCGCTGCGCAGAAGTGCAGAGAAGATAGTACTCACCGTTTCTGATGTCGACACTCTGTTTAGGATGCATGGCATATTACTGGCCTGTTTAGATGCTAAAACCAAGGATAGCGCATACAACTGCTAACACTGCCGCGGATCCAGAACGCGTCAGATGCAAACCGGTTTGTACCAGATGCAAACCAGATAGAACCAGCTGCCAACCGGATCGCACCAGTTACATAGCCTAATTCACAGTCTCCCTAACTGCGCGTATATGCTCGCCTAGCTGTCATGCTTCAGTGATAATGCAGCCCGCGCTCCTCGTTCAGCTGAAGCCAATGGCTGCGAGTGGTCAATATGTGGAAAAAACGGCGTCGATTTGGGGCATAATGTTGATTAACAAGTAATCCCCGATGGGCTGAGAAGATAGAATGTGATCTAATTGTCTAACATGTAGTGCAGAGATTAATTCAAATTTGAGCAATGAAACAATCGGAATAGATGCGTTGGTTTGTCGCCGAATGAACAAATCATGAACAAATGAACCCAGAACAGCAAGAGATGTATAAACAAACGGATGGAAATTAAAAATGGCAATGAATCTTTCCAACTTTTTGATTGAAAGCAGATACTGTAAAGCGAGGTTTAGATTCACTCTACTCGCCATGGCCAAACAAAATTAATGTCTAGCATTCCCATTTATCCGGTTGGAGGTAGACTCAACTATAAGACCGAGTTGGCTAAAACGATACACTTTCATTACGTCGTGAAACGAGCAGTTTTATCTATTTTCTGGTGGCTATAGACATCAGTAACGTGTTCTATTTGGCATTGCATGCGCAGTTCCGCTTGATTTAAAGGGGCTGACACGGTTTATGTCCGGTTGGTCGACTCCTATTTCATCTACTACGACATTCCCATTTCGTCGAAAAACCTAAGTTGGCCTACACCCGTTTCGTCTACTCTTAATTAGTCTACACTAAAAATCGACCCCGCGTTCCCATTTTGTCTACTATCAATTTGACTACTAAATAATAATTTTACATTTATAAATGTAAAATACGAGTTTTTAGTGGCATACATAGACTACAGAAATCAATAGAAAATATAAGTATATACAAATAACGAGAACACAACTTAAGAAAAATAGCAAATACGATAGCATGAAAATGTACCAAATTCCAACTTAGTCTACTGTCAAATTGTATAATAAATACACACATGCACATATCAGATAATCATAGATGCAACATAGATGCAATCAATGTTTGAATTATTATTCTGTGTTAAACTGACAAAGTAGACCCAAATATACCCTCAAAGGAAAAAGTAGACCAAAAACTGACTAGGTAGATGAAAGTAGACGAAATGGAACTGTTAATGATTCTGAGATTAGACGAAATGGGAGTAGACGAAATGGGATGTAACCGCTGACATTTGGTATTCCGCGAGTAATTGCTGCAATAATCGCAGGAAATATGGATTCATCATTTTGTAGCTTTAGGATAGACTTCGAAAAGTAAATAGGCCTAATGGCAACGCAGGTAGCATGACAACGTTTTTTGTATGCGAAGAAAAGTGTAGACGCTCGCCTCCATGAGGGTTTGTTTTAATTCGAAATAGAAAGATGATGCTAATTCGGTAATCTGTAATGCCAAATAATTTACTCGGTTGAATCGTGTACGCATAAGTATGTGTTGTACGCTGTAGCTGTCACAGTTCTGTCACCAGTCTGCCTCACACTCAATTCTACGTTACCCAGTGTCATTTCATAGTTTGATAAATTAATATAGCAATAATATATACTAATAAATACAATAAAATATACTACTAATATTATTATTAACACGACTGTATTTCTCTATATGCCGCGCGGTTACAGGCGTGCACGCGCCCATATAGCCTGGTTACAGCGAACATTAGTTATGCTTAATGTGACTTGTATTTAGGGTGAATTGCCTGTAATCCCCTGCAGTGTCGCGTTACCAGCTGTTGGTCGCCCGTGTGTTTCCGATCTTGGTGGCCTTTGTCTCGACCTACGGCACAGCTAGGGTACTAATGTGCATTCAGGTTTTACGCGACGTTTAGCGCTGGTGTATGAAAATATAGGAACAATATTCTTTATATTGCGAGCTAAATTCTTGTGAATACCAGTTTGATTTTATAATCTTATTGGCCGATATAAGAAATTTTTTCTTATTTCAAATCAAAAAAGTTATTAGGGCCTATATCCGAAAATATTGCAACCAATGTATGAAGTACATAGTACATAGTACTAGTAGTATCTATTCTAATGATATATAGTTACTACAAACGCACTAGAGCAGATAGATGGCAGTGAAAGTAACGAGTAACGATAATTGAAGAAATGTTTATCATCAACATGTTATTTTATTATAAATCTTATACAGTTTTTACATATATTCAGTATTTAGCACAGCCATGCAGTCTCGTCTTAACACCACCCGCCAACTACAGACGCTTAGTTTCCGTAATTTTATTGGAGTATAGGGCCAGATTCGCTTTGTGTCGTTATAGTACGACAGTCACAAATCACTAGCACGTACGTTTTCGTTAAATAAGTAGTTTCTGATTTTTCTTAACCGTCGTACGTCCTATTCCGGCCTAGACATAGGCCTACATAGGCGTACATAGGACGTATAGCTCGGTATTACACGTTAACACGCATCGAAATTTCAAGTACTTTTTTTCCCGCATTTTTAAAATTGATTAACGTTACCGTCATCTGTTGCACTCGATCCTTGAACACCCGGCCTATCGACGATTTCGTTGAGGTAAATATCGTGGCGCACCCTGGCGGCCATCTCTGCCGTCGGTGGTTCGTACGCGGGTGGCGGATCGTCTGGCAGCGGCTTCTCTGCACGTACAGCCGGTAATGCGTATCGAAGCTTACTCCAGAACATTGGGTCATCATATCTGCCAGAGACGCCGCGAATCACAGTCAAACCGTCCGAAACTAATATATATATATATAGTCAACGCGTAGAAATCCCAGACTGGACAGAGCAGTTCACTCTCCAGCACGTAGCTTAATCATGGCAGCCCTTCCCGTTGTGTATGAACACAGCAAGAACGTCTGTTTCGCGTATCTCATAAGTAAACCACGTTAATAATCAGTAACGTACTGCAGAATTCCTTTATCGATTCTCCTTAGGTCGCTATTCACCGATAATCTTTTATAATAACTAATCAGTTATACCGTTGCTGAATACATCTATTAAAAATAATTGCAGCATCTCGTTTATATAATTAGATGGGAGCCAACGTAGGAGCATGAAAATAATAATTGCTTAGAATATATATATAATTTATATAATATTATTATATATATATATATATATGTGTGTGTGTGTGTGTGTGTGTGTGTGTGTGTGTGTGTGTGTGTGTGTGT